AACCATACGTCCTGGTCCAGTGCAAAGCATGTCCTTGTCCAGTACAAACCATCTGTCCTGGTGCAGTACAAACCATCTGTCCTGGTCCAGTGCAAACCATGTCCGGGTCCAGTACAAACCATCTGTCCCGGTCCAGTACAAACCATCTGTCCCGGTCCAGGACAAATCATCTGTCGCAGTCTGGTACAGTCATTATGATGGGGTGCTGTGTTCGACAGAAGGTAGGCGAGTTCATGACAACTTGTGATCAAATACCAACAGGCCACCAAAAGGATAGAGAGAAAGAGAGAAGAGAGAGAGGGAGAGAGAGGGTGAGGGGAGAGAGAGAGGGAGAAAAGATGTAGAAACCCACCTCATCCTCCATCCGCTCGAAAAGCCCTAAGACACGACTGGGGTTTAGATCATCCTGAACTTTTGAGAGATGGCTCTTCAGCTCCCTGTTGTTTGCAAGTGCGTCTTGAAACTCTTGCATGTACTCTTCCCTTAGATTGAGATCCTTTCCATATTTGTCATGGATAATCTTCATCACACCACTACTCTTCTTCACCACTCCTGAAATGGAGAACACACACAAACACACAAACACACACACACACGGAAAAAGAAAGCGAAAGCAGGTGAAAAACAAGCGGGAGTCTACACTTCTTTCGCCATTATTTGATTGGACATCACACTCACGACAACGGTTTTCAGAATTTGTGTAGACCAGCATCAAATCAACTACCGCCTTCCCCCGAATAAAACGTATGGTCATTATATCTGTATTTGCCACAACTTTCAGTCCAGATGCATTGATATCACAGTACGTTCTATTCAGGTGAAGTCGGCAGTTACCCATAGCAAGCCTACACGTCAGGAAAACTCTTGAGGATACTCAGATGACAAAAACTTGGCATCAAACTCACTGATCAATGGATGAAAATGGCTACTGGGTGGCTAAAGAGGGGGAGGAGGGGAGGTGGAGAGGGGCACAGAGGAGGGAGGAAGGGCGGGCAGCGAAGACTTTGGTACTCTTGAGTCCGCTTTATGTCTGAGAAAAGATGGAAGATCAACATCAAGGAGACTTAACAAGCGGACTGAGGGTATATCCACACTCGGACTTTCAAGAACGGATCTGGTTGTGATTATGGTTACATTCAGTTTGTGAGTGTCAGTTTTCGAGGGAACAAACAAATACAGAAGACTTGGGCAGAATATTAGCAAACAACTTGCCACCAGTGACTCTTTTCAAAAACCAGAAGACAACAATTATTAATTTACTAATAACTGAAGCCAATACCTAGGTTGCTTTCTTTAAAAAAACAAAAACAAAAACAAAAAAAAACTAGGTTGCTCTTTCTTGATTCTATGGGTGGTGGAGCATGGCCGTTCTCAGATGGTGGAGTGATTCGTCTGGTTAATTCCGTTAACGAACGAGACCCCAGCCTGAAAAAAAGCTACGTGGGGACCTTTCCTCGAGGCCAGCTTCTTAGAGGGATTGGCCCCTTTGCCCTTGAGATAATAATAAATGGAGCCTGTTTCCAGACCCCCCCCCCCCAAAAAAAAAGGTCAATACCTACCTTAAATGACAACTTAAATCCAATAGACCTTTTCTTTTCACATCCCTCACACAAGCCCTGGAGTGGTTGGCTGGATATACAAGGGCTCTTGCAAAGGGGGTGAGGACAGAAGGAACAAGGTGAGACTCGAAGAAAACGCACACTAAGCCAGATCCTTAGAAAAAAAAAAGAAAAGAAAAAAAAAAAGAAGGGAAAAAAGTCAAAAAACGACCAGATCCATTATCCATGAGTGAAAACAGCTGACACTTGAAAACTAACCCTACGTTTGTGAGCCCAAAGATTCGAGAGACCTAGCCAAGTCGTACTAGAAATGAAGTTTTTTTCACAGAATCCACCCATCCTATTTTTCCACAGCCGCACAGCTAACATCGTCTATCATTCGTTAAACTCGTAACCCCCCTACTCCCTACCCTAACCGCTACCCTACCCCTAACCCTACCCCTACCCTAACCCCCTACCCTCTACCTGTACCTGGAAAATTGTTGAGGCCTTTCTGAAACATCTTTCCACCCTTGATTGGACACGCTTCATCAGGCACCCTCGATTCGCTACCCTTGTTTCGCCCCCTTTTAATGGCCAATCAATCCTTGTTGGAGGGACTCTGACCAAGGCATAGAAGAGCACAGTAGCCATTACTTGACGCCTCGTAGCAATACAGAGAGATCCGGCATAAAAAGTGCCAGGTCATCTGTGCATGCCTCTGCCTTCAACATAACGGCACGACAGTATTCACCTAGCCCCACAATCCCAATCAGGAAAGCATTATGTAATGCAGGGAAAGGAGCATGGAATGAACTGCATTCTTAGTCAGGAATGCATCAAATAAAGAAGGGAAAGAAGGAGCATGGAAGCAACTTCATTCTTATCCTCTGTTTTACGGAAACGTTAATTACTATGAATATGAAGTAACATGAAGTTTATGAACTAATAATTATGAAGTTGAATTACCATGAAATTGACGTAAGGTGAAAAATGAATTCTGTTGCATAAACAGTCTATACGTGTCTCTAAGAGAGCAAAATTTTCAAAAGTGAAAACAAAATGTGAAATGGGGCACAAGCTTAATGACCACTGCGAGCTGTATCGTTTCCCTAGTGCGCATGCATGGGTAGCATAGGGTACTTCTGGACGATGAACGTTCACGAAAGAGACACAGAAGAGAAGACCTACCATTAACAGAACTACAATAAGGACACATGCGCTGCCTCTTGCATTTCTCAATCACCTTCTTGACCAACGCTTTTCGCTGCAGCACCTCTATTCTTGGATTCCGGAATCGCCTTTGGAAGAGTCTCCTGTCATCCTCTGCCAATAATATACGTGCACAGTTCTGCAAAAAAAGTAGCAGCAAGATCAGAGGAGAGAAGGAGAAAATGGGAGAAAAGGGAACAGCGAAGATGGAACGACATGTTAGAGAAGCCGAGAGTACGAGATGGCCAAGAACAGTGGTGAGGGGATAAAGATAAGACCCCGTCGCTGTGACAAAGAGCACGAGTGGGCAGGCAACGAAGCTCGAGCTCCTTGTCACAAGAGCACGAGCTCCTTACCACAACAGGAGGATGTGAAAAGCAAAATCGCAGCAAAACACTGCAACAGGAAGACAAACACGAAGACAAAGACGAAGACGAAGAGGAAGAGGAAGACAATGCAGAAGAAGAAAGGTTGCTTTATTTGCAAAAATGGCAGTTCTCCCGGGGGGGGGAGGAGAGGGGGAGGGAACAGGGTGAAAAAAAAAAAAGAAAAAGAAGCTTGCCAGTACACAGTCCAATATTTACACGAGAAATCCGAAAGGATTGTTAAAGCTTGCAAGTACACAGTCCAGTATTTACAAGAGAAATCTGAAAGGATTGTTCTCCCACCCAACCCCATTCAGCTCATCACCCATACCTTACAGATGCACTGAAGAATGTTGACAATGTTCTTGAAGTATCCGATATGATACACTGGTAGCTCCAGCTGAATGTAACCAAAATGCCCAGGGCAATCTGTCAATTTCCCAGAGCATGTTGTGCACTCTCCTCTCTTGCTGCTCGTTCCCTGCAAAAGGCACCACGTCACACACCGAAAATGAGATCATGGCCTGTGTTTGTTGAGTGCATTGAAGCCACAAGATTAATTGCACAAGTACAACAGCACTGACACTAGGACCCATTATCACTCCATGGCTAGACAACCCCCC